CGCGGCTGAGCGATCGAAGACATAATACATGAGAGGTTCCCTCACGAGATGATCCATTCCACTCCGCCAACGATGTGAGCCAACTCGGTGAATAGCGACGTAGTTTATGAGTCATTCAATAATGAGGAATAATTATTCCTGATGTTAGCGAGGATTGAACTTCGAAGGCATATTAGATGACCTTCACTCCCTCGCGCAATCATTCGCTAGCCCAGATCAGTATTCCGTCAGAAGTCTGCATTCGCAGGAGGTTCTGGGAGGTGAGCTCTATGTATATGCTCGGCTGGACTTGACAAGCATGACTGTCTGAATGTCGACAGACTCGTCTCTCACTAACGTTTGCTCTGATGAATATAAGGAGACGATGCGTGTCGACTTTCTACGAACAAAGAATATGAGGCTCACAATAGGGGGGACTTCTCCTTCCGCTCGCATCGTCTCGTCCCCATGCTCATCATTAATTCATTATGGCTCACAGAGCCGCATAAAGCGAATTAAACCCAAGACGCGACGGTTCATGGGTGGCTTCTAATTCAATCACGCGACCCCGACAGGGCAGATCAAGAGGGGAATGCGATCCGCCCCCGAAATCCGGGTCGCCGTAGCATCGGAACCCCAGTGCAATCGTAGAGAGCCTTCTCTAGACTGCATCGAGACTCCTGACAATTCGGCCATCTCGGCAACTATGTTTTTGTCGCCAGAAGGGAAGGCCCAAACGAAAGGTAAGATGGAGTGAAATATGAGCGAAATCTATCGAATCAGGCAAAGTCAAGACGAATATACAACAATGCTCGCCGAGAAAACGAAAGCGTCTCGTCTACCTCAGACATTGGACCCGGCGACTTTGGAGAGGCCACCGATCCATTGTCGTCGAGATGTATCCAACGAGTATCCGAGGCGAGGATTATTGTGGCTGTCAAGACCTCGAGTCAAGATGCTTTCGGGATCCTCCCATTCTAATTCTCCTGAGTGCCTCGATGTGAAGTTTCTGCATCCCCCTCCCCGATGATGGCTGAGACTGATGATGGTAACAAGCGTAACGATCTCTGCATCGATTATTGATTTCATTTCTTCGGTTTTCGAGAATCTCTCATCGCTCCGGCTGTCGAAGCCTTCGCTGAGAGAATGCATCAGAGGTCAATAATCACTTGGTACATCTTGGTAGTGTTCATGACCGCACTCAAAGCGAGTTTGGTCATTGATCGTCAATCTGAATCAAATATCATTGCTGGGTGCTCAGCGAAGTCGCATTTTGAGCCTATGGAGACAGGGTGCGATATTCAGGCCTAGTTGAATTTGACGGTGAGCAGTTTTCGTCGGTTCCACTCCTTGCGTCTCAGGCTCCTAATCATTTGGAGGAAAGGTCGTTTTTGGAGAAAAAAAGACTTCATCTTGTCATCGAATCCGGCAGGAACCCCGCGAGCCTCTAAGTATTATATAATGGGCATGATTACGGAAAAGTAGTTCCCAAAACACCGCGAACGTCGTCGGTGCGTCCCGTCGGCGTCTTTCTCCTCAAGCTGATCTCATGTTCTGCGACAACTCGGATGCCTCTGCAAGGGTTCTTCCAGGTTTTACTGGTCGCTCTATTCCATGGTTGCCCGCCAGAGTCGAGCATGTTCTGCTCTCGAAAAGCTCGGCCCCATACCTGAAACTTCTCTCCGCAATCTGGAAGCCATTTTCACCCTCGCTGGTGTAGCTGTTTCTATTAGAGAAAAGCGGAAAAACTCATTCCATGCGAGTCACGGAGCTCTGATCTTCCCCCGCAATCGAGACAGTTTTCTGTCGACCAGCACACTCCAGCAGATTATCGGCAATGCCGTTGATGGCGTGTATCGCACTCGCCGAATGGATGCTCATTAAGATAGTTGCCGTTCGTGGCTACTCGTAGAGATTCCGCTCGGTCGGCCAGCAAGCGGTGACAGCTGGCGCAGTCCGGCTCGAGTCAAGCCTCGGTAAGCTGCAGCGGAATGGGCGGATTTTCGCCCCTCGATAGTAATCGGCGTTCTCGCTTTCTGACACCTCACGGAGTGCGTGCGTTCCTCGACTCTGTCTTCCGAAAGACCTCTCAAGGGCAAGAAACAAAAGGGAGCTGCCAACGAAGATCTGCCGGGACAACTCTCGGCTGCAGGGCGGGACCCCGGACAATGCAAGCGGGCGACGACACGAGATCTCTCGCGATAGATCTCGGGAAATACCGAAACCGAAGAGATTCGTAGGTGAGCGGCGAGAATTCCAGGGGGCGAGCTTTGTAGCTCCATGGTTCCGGATCGGCTTTTTACATCATGGCGGCCGATGATTTGCGCGGTCTATTGCTCTGTCTGATGATACCGAAATCCCTGGAAGTCATCCACGATTCATTATCAGCCTGCGTTCGAGAACCTCCCGGGCGAGGGGGAGCCCCGATCGTTTTGTTGAAACCTACAAGAATTCTAGTCACATTGGGACCTTTAACGGTGGGATCGATCTCCAGAAGCTGAATTTTAATTCGGCTCCAAGTGGGTGTGTTCTCTCAGAGAGTCGACTCACCTCCGTGGGAGAAGCCTCGGAGCCAGGACAAAATGCGGAGGAACTACAGGAAGCAATCGGAACGAACAGTTGAGCTTACTGGACTCCTGGGTCGGAGTCGACGCTGTCTGAGCGGAGCCGCCCCAGCGTGTTCGTCTACGAGTGGAGGTGCATCGTACGTGCCTGGAATCGCTGTAGAGCCTCCTCCAGGCAGGTGTCAACAACCACGACCATTTATATGAACTGTCAGACGAGTTCGAGAAAAAGTCGTGCCCCATGCGGGCTATCAAGTTCCAAATTCGACCAACTTCTTCATCGCCGTGGTCTCGGAAACTTACCGACACATAAGGTCTCGAGAGTCGACCTGCCATGTGAGTGCACCGAGAAGCGTAAGAAGAGTTTCCTCCGAATGATAAATTGACTCGAACTTCCAGACGTATTCGACTCGACGGACTTCCCTGCAGTACGCGAGGAAGAAATGAAACAACCCCAAGGCCAGAAACTCCAAAACCCATCCAAGGAGCTCCGCTTCCTGCTATTTTCGTCCCGTCCCCCGTTGGCAGAAAAATTGGACTCTCAGAAAATATGTTCCCTCGGGTTCTCCTGTAGCGTCCGACGATAGAGCATCGTCCGACTTCTGTTTTCTCCCTCGTGCGGCGTCATATTCGTGCCGAGCAATCGGGAGCCACAATCATGGAGAGACTTCGCATCCGAAAGCGCTGGAATTCTCGCACGACGACCGGAAAACAAAGCGATCAAATTTCGATGCGGTCGAGTGACCTCTGCTGACAGAGAGACGGCATGGCACAAAGAGTTGCTCACGAGAGCTCGGCATCTCCCTTGAGCGGTGTCGTCGACTGACAGATATCAGGACAGAGTGGAGACCGCAGCGCGCGAATCCATTTTTGCCATACAGCTGCGAGACCCGCACTTGGCCGAGACGAGAACTGCGTTCAACATCGAAACCCATCGCATTGCGGCGAAGCCACCGAGCTCTCGGCGGAAATTCAATGACTCTGCTCCACCGCTGGAACGGGACAACGAGCAGGTTGTCGGCGGGGAGACCTTCGGCACGCTGTCGTTGGCAAATGCCGTTACGTGACAAATGACATTCCGGAGAAGAGTCCGATGTCATGTGTACGGACGGAGGCATCAAGTCCTTTCCCCAGTGAAGCCGCGAGTGGTGAAGGCTTTGCTCTCTTTTTCCCTGCTTCCAGCGTTGTCACGTCCGTCGTGTCGTCGAGCAACCGACAAAGTGGCCCTTCTCGATTCGCTCGCAGACAGAAGGCAAGCAGACAGGCGGCGAGTAGGGCCGTCGGTCGTTCGGTGGGCCGGCCAGCTGGCTGGCTGGCCGGCCTGCCGATCGTCCGCTCGGGCCCTGGCCCTGCAGTCTCGGGGGATTCCACCCAGCAAGTGGGTTGGCTGCAAAGCAGTCCGACAGGCAGGCGCACGTTGCGCGTGCGCAATGACGTCAGTAAATATTTAGGAGAAGACGGCTGGGTGGTGGCCCGACGTAAGAGGAGGAATAGGACGTCGACCGGCTACCGCTGCGGTAGTGTAGACTATGGCGAGCCTCGAAGACGGAGGACCGAGAGAACAACATCGAAGGCGCGGCCACGATTTTCTCCAGCAGACTGCGTGGCGAAGACGTTTCTTCCGTTCGTTCGGAAACTATCACCTGGTGCCGCTCGTTCATGCCAACGATTTTCTCTCACTGCTATTAAACGAGATCCATGCGCGGAGACAGAATGAGAAGCTCCCAGCACTCCGGGAGTTCTGGAAGATGTATGGAAAAGTTCCTTTCACTCCAACATGTCGAGAAACTTCCCCAGCGTCCAAGTGGATTCGGCGAAGCGAATCCGCGATCGGGGGCTTGAGATAAGGATGCTGTCGAGCAGCCGGCCTACATTTTCTTCTCTTTGAAGGATTTGTTTCGGCGTCGTGATCAAACATCGAATCCCGCAGTCCCGGAGGAAAAATGGGAATGGGTGCTCCCGTCATTTTCTGCGTGACGAGCTCATATGTTTTGGGGACGGTGGCGACGAGCCACAGCGGAAAGCTTTATTAGTTTTTACTGATTATAGGCACGCATGACTGCGGCGAAGGAATAGTTGATAGCCCTCCGATCCAGTGATAAATTTCCTCTGTGAATCCTGGAGCCCGCTTCGGAGGTGCTTCCGCTGGCCCGCCAGCCCGTCAGTCGGTTGAAGCAGTGCAGCAGCTGCCTCTTCGCCTACCCTCACTCGCGTGATCTCTTTCCCCAGAGCTGGAGGCCTTTCCCTTCGCTGGATGGCTGGCTCGCTCGTCGCTGACTGGAGGGCCGCTCTCTTCCATATGAGGCCCACATCCACCTGTTTTGCTTATCGCAGCTTCGGCCAAAGCTTTGGCTTTCGGTGCATACTGCAAACTGGCCGTAACTTGGCCTGGAGCGCGTGTGAGTGGACTGGAAACAAGTTTACCTTGAGGCCGTAGGGAGACAGTCCTCCCTAGCCCTGGAAGGAACAATGTGTTGAGGAACGAACACTGCACGCAAAAGTGCACCGAGTCGACGGACACCTGCGAACGGAGACCGTGGGCGGCTCAGCGCAACGAAGTCAAAGTGCACCGTTACCACTCCAGGAGAGCTTTCGACAATTGGTTGAAGCGCGTCGAGCCAGGTAGAGGGAGTTTATTGTCTACAGCTGAGCGTCCCCGATTCATCTTCCGGACGATTGTGAATCGCAAACGACAAAGGTGAGTCTGCCCGCTGTCTCGGGGCGAGAACCCTGTGTGCTGCGACGGATCATGGGGAAAATCGGTTTTCGAAGATGAAGAAAAGCGCAACAATGAGAGCTCCGATGTCAGACACTCCTCGACACAGGGGACTCGGAGTCCGACAGATTTCGATGACAACCCTTGTTCTCCTTTCGTGCCCCCGTCAGACCGTCTGCCCGTACCCCAGATCTAGTTCAAGCGTCTCGACCGACTTCGGAGACAGTCACGCTCGGTGAAATAATGTTCGGAATTCGACAGGCGTCGGAACGGAGACCGAAAAAAAGAGTACCTGGAATATGGAGTCTCCGGGAGCCTCACTCGCGATTTGACGTATGACCGAATATAATCCCCACCGAGCCGACGGCAGCCTCGAATTCCGCGACTCTCGAAGCCGTCAGGCGGGACAAGTCGTCTAAGAAAGGAGCAATGCATGCGATCGAGCGGAGCAGTGTGCACATCCGCGACCATATTCCTGGGAAGCTCTCGACGTCTCTCGCCCAGAGTTCAGCTGGGAGATTTCTAACGTCCGCTCATGCATCGACGGTTGAGCGAGGAAATCGAATGAGTCACGGATCTATATGTACATACATGTACGTATATTTCACCTCCGTACGGCCGATCGACGGAACGTGGCGGGGCAGGCGACGCCAGTCCGCGAGAGACGCCGATGAGCGAACCTTGACGAACACACAACATGCACGGTGTCTTCCCTTCCGAGTTTTGATGCCCGCCGGGGTTCTCGCGCACTCCCTCCGAGTGCCCATTCGGTTGCGAATTCACGCGTATGGACGTGAGGACGAAGGTACGAGTTTTTGACGAGCGGGGAATCACTTTTCCTCATGCAGAATCGATTTGGGAACTCTCGCATTGCTCGAGGCGGAGCGCGATTGCAGAGTTCTATGGAAAAAAAATCGTTGATCACGGGAGAACAGACCGTCCGATTTCTCCACCCTGTTCGAGTCTGGTCGATAGTGAGGTTCTCAATTTCGAAGTATACCTCCCAAAAATTCTCCAGAAGAAGAGAAACTGAAAAACGAATCGAGGCGAAACCCAAATTCTTTGAAGCCTCGTGCCGGAAAGGGAAACTCCTTCGAAGACTGCGTCCGGAATTCCAGGGGAAGTCTAGAGCTGCGAATCAAGTTTTGATAAGCTAAGGGAGTAGACTGAATTGGAACCATTCCGATTTCGCAATTCCCAGCCCCAGAATGGCCCTCTGCTCGTACCCCGGAGATGCATACACAGATCACCCTACATGCGCCGACGGGTGGGAATCCCCCTCGCCTCAGAGAATTCTCAGGCATGATATTCTCCACAATTCCACGAGTATCGGTTCATTGCTGGAGCATCGCACGCGGCGCTTGCCATCGAAAACTCGGCTCGGTCTCATTATTCACGTCGTTCTACGGCGCTCGCAGAAACGGAGCAGATGACCTCATCGTCGGGACGAAATCGTGAGAAAGCAAGCACTTGCGCCCGATTCTTGATCATGCCTCGATTGCTTCCAATTCGACAACTAACAACACCGGACGGCGAACCCGGGTCCAAATACGGTATAGGTCTCGTCGTTGATCGATCTGACGTGCGGGGAAGCGAGTTTCCGCGCCTCCTCAATTCCAGGTGGAATGGGAGGGAGAGGAAAACCATAGCGCTGATAATAATCGGAACATGGACACCAAACTACCGAGCGCTCTCTTCCTCTTCGATTGGTCGGAGTCTCCCTATGTGATGTGCCCAACTTCGCTGTCCCTCCCTTTCGATGTCGCTCTCGGAAGCGGATCGAGAGTTGTTCCATACGGTCGGTCTGGATGCCGAGCATCGGAGGATATCAGTCAAGCGAAACATGAACCAGGCCGAAAATTTTCCCAGGAGCATAGAACAGCCTCTGCGACGGTTTCGACCGGAGAGTTAGCGAGACGGCGGGATTCTAGACTCTGGGGGTACGCTCTTCCAAAAGATATTGCGCGACGAGAGATGAGGTTCTTCTCGGATTCCTTGCCCCTTTCCGACGAGACACCACGAAGCAGCCGGAGAGTGCCACCGCATAGTCTCATGATTCTTGCCGAGCATGCCGCAACAATCCGGGTAGCTCGACGCACGATTGGAGGAAACAGGACGGGGCATGGAGCGAGATTGATTCTTCTCACGGAATTGATGAACAGCATGAAGGTGGGGGGGGCCTCGCTGCTCGGCCCTGAGCCCAAACCAGGCGGATTCATCTCCGTCGAGCTGCGGATATTCAGACGGCTCGCACGGTTTGCAGAAAGAGAAAACCGCTCCCGATGCTTCGAGCACAACTCGTCAAAATCTCCCCGTTGTGAGAGATCATCTGTCTTGGTGTTGCTCAATTGTCGATCGTTATTTTTAGATTGTTAGTTTACGATTCCGGTGTCGACACACAAATGTAAGCTAAGATCAAGCGAGCGGCACGACCTAGACCGACAGCGGGAGATGATTCTGCTCTGATGATTCTGATTTTCGAGACACTGCTTTTCGCGCAGCCGTCTCCTTTGCCCTAGTTCTCCAGGCGTCAACAATGACTCGGAGGAGCTCGACATGTCGGGAGAATCCAGCGACCGAGAGCTTCACTGAGGAATCCCAACTTGCCCCGGCCCCACAAAATGGTTCCAGTGTATTTCCGCGCTAAGTCATTCCTCGAAGAGGCGACGAACGCGCTATGAGGTCCTTCCGACTTGAGATTCAGCACCGAAGGAATTCCGGCGACAGGGATGTCTGTGTACTGAGTATTCCGTCCAGAGACCCAGCTTGTTCTCGATACCGAGGAATATCATCGGGAGAGCGATTCCGGTCAGTCGTCGGGACGACCACGAAGGCAAATAGAAAACACACATGGGTCCTCATGGAGCCTACGAGAGCGACAGCTTGAGAAATTCGCGGGAGACGTCACGCCCTGTCGGGATCTAGTGATGTCGATGCTCGGCCCTGAGGGACTCTTTCGGAAAATGTCTTACTGCATGTAATCGATCAAGTCATCAAAACATCGGCTTTCTCTCGTCATGATACGATGCATGCCCTTCGCCATCTTCCGGAAGAGCCTCTCGGGTCTCATTTCGATGGAAACACAATGTCGTCGTTCCGACCCACGTTATTCGGCGTTTACGGCGTCCGGATCATAGCGAAAAACGTGGCAGGACGCAGGACCGATCTAGCGATTGCTCACCTGCCGTCTCCTGCTCGAAATGTTTCGCCATACCGGTTTCTAGCTCCTCTGCTGAATTTCCGCCACCTACGATCCAAGTTGTAATCACTTTCCCGTGAGCTCCGCGGACGACCGCTGGCGACGCAAACAGACAGGGTCATCGCATGAAATGCGTCACCCGGTTTTTGTAGCTCTGTAATCGCATTCGCTCCCGCAACGAGTCGTATATGCAGCGAAGAGTCTCTCTGACTGAGAGCTCTTCTAAAGAGATTGTGTTCGTCCGCCGCAGCCAGCTCTGCAAAGCAAACCAGCCAGCAACGCCTGTTTCAAGCGCTCCCTCCAGACGCACGACCTCGCTTGTTGCTCGAACGTATTACCAGCGCGCTATGAATTCTGTTCGAGGTGATGCGAGCATGCCAGTGTCTGACATTGAGCCTTATTTCCGATGCGACAGGGCCTCGGTCCGCCGGCTCTCCAATAGGCCATCGCGAGTTGTTTTGTCATGAATTTGTGGAAGGTTGTGGTCGGGAGCCGAAGTTTGCTGAAGCCGACTCTGTGTCGGCTCGGCTGACGGTCTGCTCGCCGGGAAACGCCAGTAATAGGAGCTTGTCCGTCGGGTAGCGGAGAGAAAGTGAAACTTCCAGAGTTGCCTTCACCGTCTGACAGAGAGCCCTCTGTGCCTGTCCACGAATGGGCAAGCCACCGAGCTTCGCCTGAATCTCCTTAACGAGCTGTCCAGAGCTACTCGATCACGAACGTCTTTCATTTCCAAGAGGAGCCTCTAATCGCTTACATTCTCTTCTGTCTTCACTGGACGACGTCTCGATGCCCCAACCCCGCTCGGAAGGAAGCATCGTTTATTCGAGCAAAGGAATACATTCGTTGCCTTCGGCGATTCGAAGCTGGATAGAAGTCTCGGCGGAGGCGGCTCGTGGGTGGTCACGTTTCACTTCCCCCGACACGCCAGCACCGGCTCCCCATTGGCATGTGACTTTAGTCTGAGGAGGAATAGAGCTCGCTCAGCGAATGAGCTCGATGGAGGGCCGGGCGACTGAAAAAAAACTAGGTACGTACGACAAAAAACAGAACACACTCGCTAAGCTTTGAACAGCGACAGTGACGGCGGCGCCGGTGGAGGCAGCGGCGAGCGGGGGCGCTCGCTACGATGTCGACGTGCTCCGAACTTTTCCTCTCTCATCTTCGATGGCGGAGCTCCCAGAACGTAATTTTATCACAAGTTTCCAAGCGATTCGCTAAGCGGTGTCGGCAACGACAGGACCGTACTTTTCGGCGTTCCCCTTTTTCGCCGATAATTTCGGTTTCTCCGAGCCAGGAATAATTTCCCGCTCCCTTCCCCTTTCGGTGGAAGCACTTTTCCACTCGACTCGCGAATTCGTCACCGAGATTCAATTTGTCGGGACCGTAGCCAACGCAGCGATTCGCCTGTTCTGGGGAATCGAAAATTCCCCACGAGTAGGAGATGCGGAGCGGCGTATTCCCGGCGCCACGTCGTGAACGATCTGCGATCGCAAACAGGGGACGGAGGACCGAGACATTCCTCCGGAACTTTCGATGTTTGATTAGGCGTGTGGAGGGGAATAAACGTTTAAGTGCATGAAAGCTATTCCCGTCTCCGAGACGTTCCCGTATGCAAACTCTGCCTCCGATTGCTCTTTAATTCCTTCTCGAGAGATCCTTCGGATCATCTTACGCCAAGTGCTGTGGCAGGATTTCCCAGCTCTCTCCGGACGCCTGCTCAGGAGGTGCATCGTTGGACCTTCATTCCGAGGCGTTCGCTGCTGTCGATGTTGCGGTCGGGCTC